TTGCATTCATTTCATTGTGAGAGCTATGTCATCTCGTTTCCTTGAATGCCTCTCTGCACCACTTTTTAAGTTCTCAGGGATCTCATTGTTGGCTCTTTTCATCTTAACAGGAGTGGACATGTTGTGATTAGTAAAATGATCCCGAGGACCTAACACAGTTGCACGAGTTTTAGTAGCGGAGAAGTATACTTGTTGACTTGGAAGCTTGTGGGACGAAATGAGTAGTTGTGGATTAGTGTGTGTCATCACACAGTCAGAGGCTTCTTTGGTAGAGGAAATCCTCTCTTTGCCTCTTTCCTGGTTGAGTCTAACCAATTTTTCTACCATTTGGTCCACTAGGTCTTTTTGGTGTTGCAAGATACGATCCATGGTGGCTTTTTGTGTCTACTCTATTTTGACCTCCCACTTTGCTTGCATATTTTGCAAATTCTCTTCCAACTCTTTCTTCAGTTGCTCAAATATTTCTACCATTCTCAGTACTGTGTGAACAAAATTCAAAGTTAAAAGCGTTTCCTCAAAGTCTCCCACGAGATATGATTAATGCATGTAAAAATGCTTTAAATGAAATATATATGCAAAATATAAAGATGCAAATGCATATACAAAATATTGATCCCAACGATGAATATCATAGAATAATTTTCACCAGAGATAAAAGTCTTCTCATTACAAGACATTCCACTTTACAAATATGCCTTCGCTTAGATGTTGAGTCTGAAGTGGATCACTACTTTATCTCGGATCTTCGTCCTTGAAAATGATGTCCCTCAGGCGCTCTATAAACTAAATCAATTAATGCCCCTGTGGTGGTGAAGTCAATGTGCCACTCCTTGGTGGTTAGCGATGAAATGATCGTAGATAAGAATCTACTACTGGATTACTCATTGGATCAATGGATCATAATTTCGATCTCGAATGTTGCATGATCTTCGAGCTCACTGCTTCGTCTCAGATCTCTGTATTTGGAACTAATTCCTCTCAATGCTCTGTCATTAATGTCTCGGCAGTACTAAAGACATTGCGTTGCTCCTTGATGACTAGCGATGACATGATTGTAGATAAGATTCCACTGCTAGATTACTCATCGAATCAACGAATCATCCTTTTAGTCTCGAATGTTGCACGATAGCAAGTATCCTTCTTGTACTATGAACTTCTTTCAGCCCTCGATGCATGTCTGTGTATGCTACTGCTTGATTGAAATTTTTTATCTCTCCTTGTGAAAATTTTATCTCGAATATCCCCTTGCGAATCAACACTCTTGCATTATATCATGATGATGCAATGTAAATGCAAAGAATGATGACAAAATGACACAAACAAAGAGAAGAAACAAGTTAGTGTACACAAACAAAAGAAAAGAAATTAGTTAGTATTGGTAAGATAATTGATACAGATAAAAATGTTATTCAAAAATTAATATAACACCTACCCGACATGATATCTACCCGAGCATGTTTTAAATAGATAATAATCCTACCCGTACATGCTATCTACCCAAAATGAATAATTTCAAAGAAATGATCCTAACCACATGGTATCTAATTCGCATGTTTTTATTCAACAAAATTTAAAGCAAAAAGGAAAGGTTAAGAAACACTCATTCTTTGTGTACACCTATTTTGGGTACCTACTGACGAACAGAGGTTCGATATGATTATACCTAGGGTGACCGTTCTACAGTACACTATATGCATAGTTTCGGCTCTACGAGGAAAAAGGGTACCCGAATTGTTCTTGATGTCAATGTCCCCTTGGGCTGCCAGACCCTCGATCCTCACCCATTACAGGTTTCGAACGGAACGAGTTCAATTCGAGGGGATTCACTGCCTTATACCCATACGAGGAATAAATCCCTACGAATGTATAAGGTATGTATCCCATGGGTTATTTGCTAAAACTCATACGGAGAATAAATTCCACCCTGACTAATTTGGATTGAAGCTCGTGTCTAGAGCTCATGTTATGCAAATGCACGTGATGTGTGATGTGTGTGAGGAGGAACGTGCCTACCTTTGACTCAAAAACAGAAAAGAGATAAAACTCGACAAAAACTCAGACAGAGCTGCAAGCAAAATTAAAAAAGTTAGTATGGCAAAAAAAATGAAACAATTAAAAACTTCAATAAACTGATTATAAGTTAACTAAAGACTCGAACTCATAATTTCCACCACAACGACAAAGTGTAAACGACTTACAACTTGGCTCTCTAAAAAAAAGTCCCTAGTAGAGTAGCTAAGCTGTCGTAACCATCTTTCAATAAAACAATTAAATATTATTTTAAAAAACGATTATGACTTTAATTTGAAAAAAAATGGGTGATTTGGAATTAATTTAAATTAAATTGAGAGGAGTCTCCATCGACCTTTGGGCTAAGTAGGTCGAATACCTAAAAACGTCTTTTAAAAATAATTTTGAAAAAAAACGTTTTTTAGACAAAAAACAACTGGTCTGTGTTTACCAAAGATTCAATTAAAACAGGTTCGGGAGTCGGTTACGTGTGGGGAAGGATTAGCACCCCCACAACGTCCGAAATTGGTACTGTGTCACTTACACGTTGTCGTAATGGTGGAAATTATAAATCGCATCGATAATTAAAGTGTGATCCATTTATTAAAGTTAATTTGATTTGCTTCGAAATAATTAATTAGAGAAAATTCTTTAACTTGAAAAGAAATATCGAGATTAGCAATCTTCCGTCGGGAAAGCTATTTTGACTATTTCTTATCCGTAAAGAATATTCTCTCTTCGATAAAAGCGTGAATCGAATATAAATTGAAAACCGACATTTTGCATACAATAAATTGCTATTTACTTTATCATGCATTGCACTATTTGAAATAAAACAAATTAATTAGTGATAAAAAATAACTTCGATTTATTTTAGCTCTCATTTTGTTTGAACGTCGTATCGGATTGCAACACTTCGATCAAGTGATACTTTCCACGCCTGTTCTACAAATACAGTTCTCGAAAAACAAACACAAGTAAAAAAACTTAGTAATATGCTATTAACAAACATATGATATAATAAACTACACAATACATTTTAAGAGCATATACTTGATAAAAAGAACAATATGTAATGTCATAGTAACACAAACGCATATCTTAATCATCACTTGAACTTAAATAAAATGCATGTAAAAATAATAAGTTAGAATGTAAATAAAAATAACCATAGAAGGGAATAATATAATATATAAAAAATCGAAATAATAAACTTATGATGATCACCAGACATGAGAATAAAAGCAGAATAATATTCGGTCCAATATTGAAATAATTAACAATATCTATAAAATATAGAACCAACAAAAATAAAGGCTTAATGAAAAATAAGTGATTGAAATATAATAGAAATTAAACTATTGAACATGTAATGGTATTTACCCTAAGTCCAACAGTAGTCAAAATAAGGGCAAAACAAAAGATTTTTAAATCTCATGGCAAAATTCCAGTATCCACAAAAATACGATAATAAACTACAAAGTGATCAAATAGTAAATAATATAAAATGTAAAGCTCGAAATGAAACATAGAAAAATATTATTTAATGATCAAATCATAATGTTACAAACTCAAGGACCCTTCACGCGTGATTAATCCAAAAGCTAGGTGTATGGAACCTTAATGCCTAAAACGACGCAACATCCTTTTGTATTTATATACTACATTAAGGGTTTTTAAAACCCTACTTTCTCATTTCACTCCCCAGCCATTTCTAAAACAAACGTAGGAGATAGGGTTCATCCCAACTCTCCCAGCCTCTGCCATGGTAACTCACTCCGGCCACCGTGAGTTGGTGCCGATCAGAGAGTAAACTTGTCCCAAACGACTCCCCTTCTTACCCTCCAACTAAAACTCAAACATACATCACGTAACAACCCAATATCCCCTTTCAAACCAAACCTTCGGGATTTGAAATTTTTAGATTGAAGGAGGTCATGTCTTCGGTTATGAACAAAGGTAATCTCCTTTTCTTTTCCTTTTGGTTTTCTCTCCTTTTCTCTGTTTTTTTTCAAACCCACGAGTGAATCCTCTCTCTTTGATTGCATCCTGATTTTTATCTTGTCTTTTGGGATGAGATGATGATATCTAGGTAGATAGGGGAATGGGTCTCTGATTTTGCAGGATTAAATCCCGAAAAAATCGGGATTTAGGTAATTAAAAAATGGGTTTTTTTATTTGGCCATAGTTTCTACTGATTTGGGTGATTTGCTTTGCTGATGGGGTTGCTGTTTGATTGAATTTTCACTGTAGATGACGATGGTGGCATGGGAACGGTGGCTGGATCGTCGGAGTGGGTCGGAACATGCGGCGGCGGCACGGCTTTTCCTCTGTTGTGGCGACGGCTGAGCTTATTAGGGTAAAAACACTTATGCGTTAGGCCCTTTTGTTGGGCTCGGGTCAGATCCGACCATTGGGTCTACTGAACAGGGTCGGATTCGGGCCTGGTCTGGCCTGAATCGGGTCTAGGCTCCAGCTAGGTTGGCAACTTGGGTATTGTTGTTGATGTAATTGGGTTTTGGGTCTTCTGGTGGGCTTAATAGCCTGCAACAAAATATAAATATTTGTATTAATATAATAATAATAATTATTATAATAATAATAATAATAATAATAATAATAATAAAAAAAAATAAAATTAATAATAATAATATTAAAATTAAATAGAAAAGACCTAGACAAAAACGAGCGTCTATAATATATATTATATAAATACATATTGTATAATTGTTTCAATTTTTTCCAATTTTTGAAATGAATACAATTTAATTCATTTTACAGATTGTTTTTTTTTTCAAATTTTACAATTATTTTGATTTGATTTGTTTAATATTTAAAGAAAAAGATCCGGAGTCATCGGATGAGTTTATTTATAGTTTTATTTCATGTCTCTTAAATCCATAATTATTTAAATGTAAACATAGATGTAAAAGAAAAGAGTCGAAAATTAAAATCTGCAGATAATTTGTTTGAATTGAACTGAAATAACAATGTCAGTGAAGCGCTGGTTGAATCAAAAGATCGTGGACCCAATGGTCCAAATCCTCAAGAAGTAATTTTTTCATTATTTATTTATAATAGGTAAAAGAAAACAAGCTTTATGCAAATGAAATGCAATTGCAGGGGAGCAGAACCTAAGCAATTGGCCTTCTCTGTAGCTTTGGGATTTACTTTGGGGGTATTTCCAATATGTGGTAATATTTTTATTGGATATATATATATATACACACACAAAAGTGAAGAAAGAAAATTTAAATGATAAATGCATGCAGGGGGTACGGTGGTACTGTGGGATTGCAATAGCGGTGTTGGGATCATTGGCCAATGCTCCAGCAATTGTGCTTGCTAACTTCCTTGCTACTCCTATGGAGGTGAGGTACTAATTGTTCTAATAGTTGTAATTATAAGGTGATATTTATTCATAATCTTTTTTAACTATTGATAATGCACACACACACCTTTAGATATTAGATACAGTTGCTTGAGCCTAATACCTTAAAAAAATAATACTCTGTTTAACAAAAAATTGATTTTTTACTCTTATTTTTTAAAATTCAATTTATTTAACTAATTAAATAAATAAAAATACATAATTATGATGGAACATTAGAGAGTAAACGATTACTGAAGGATGGGAGGGTTTGTGTAGCCTGATGGTGTCGTTCCTGAGGTTTGGGGGAGCACTGACGGGTGGAGAGGCTTTTGAATTAACATCAGATGCTTTGAACAAAGTAATCATAGGCCAAGCTTCCACTGAACTCCTCTTTAGTATTGCTCGTGCTGTAAGTTCCCCTTTTTTCTTCACTTCTCCTTTTACTTTATAAATAAAGGTCTGAACTTTCATTTTTTTTTTCCTGATTTTATATCGTAGTTGTTATTTATCTTATCCCTTAATCATATAGTCGAAGTTAGAATATACTTCGTAACAAATAATTTATCCTTTCTAAAGAATATCGATGATGAATAAATTAATTAATTGTTGTTACCGACGATAAATACCTTAATTCTGGTCATGTATACTATACAAGAGTAGAAAACCAAATGGAACTCTTATTACAAGTCATGTTTAGTGTACCTAATCAAACATTCCTTAATTATAAGACTAGTTTTATCAGAATTTGTTCATACCAATGCTGCAATATGATTTGTTTTATGGTGATGAAAGATGTAATTTTTAATAAACAAATCATTTGAAATGATTGGCGGGTGCAGTTATTGGGATGGTTTGTTGCGGCACCCATTATTTTGGTCACACTCTACCTTATATTTTTGCCAATCTTCAAGTTCCTTGTCCCCAAGTTCAGCACCTCTCCTCAGCAAAAAGACCACCTTTCATAATTACAAGCACTAGAGGGATATGCTTTCATCTTCGTAATTTCATTCTTTGGTGATGTATATGGACCCTCATTCACATTACCATAACGTATACTTGAATATTGTGAGCTTAATTAATTCAAAGATAAAAGATTGCTGCCTTTTTTAAAAGATTGTTGGAAGCACAATGGAACTTTTGTGTAATGGTTCAACCCGACAAATTGTTTCTCTCAAGGACAAAGGACAACATAAGATTTTACTTATAAAATTCCAAAAAGGCGAAAACAAACAATCAATAGAAAATACAAAGAAAAATATTTAAAATATACAATATTTTGAACTTTTCAACAAGGCAATTGCCCCCGGCCACACCCCCCGTTCTGTCCTCTCTTGTTTATGTGTGTTATCTTAAAATCATTTGCCATTAAAGTACTGGACTGGTTGTTGCTCATCCTCCTTTAAGGAACTATACTAATAAAATCAAAACTACACAAGTTGGTCCATGTTTGTTGTAACAAGATGCATGTATATGCCAAATCTAGTTCATGTTTAAACATAACAGATGTCACTTGCCCATCACCATAAGTAAAATCAAATACTACAAAGGTTCCAACTGAGAAAAACATAATCTAGTCTAGCATGTCCTTATTCGCATTCTACATGAAAACAGTGCGGAATACCTTTTATATAGTTTATACTTCCACTTCATCTATCCCACTCCAAATCAAGATGCTGCTTCGGGTTCACCTCTGGAGGACTCCCTTCAATGCCTTTATGTGACTGATTTGTCAACCGATCCCATCCGATGATGTGGGGCAATGCAAACTGTGCAACATTGCAAAACCAGGAACTATTTCATTGCTTGTTCAATTAAAACCAAAATCGACCAACAAAAGATTTATCAGCTCAAACAAGGTCTATAATCATCTATGGTCATCACCAATATAAGATTTCAGTCTTGCTCATATGTGATGACATAAAGAGCAATCCAACAAATGACCTTCTCAGACATTTTATCTTGTAATACTAAAAAGCTTATTAAACTTATTATCTTGTCAATTTTATCCCCTTTTTTCAGGTATATCCAGTAAATTAACCTATTAAACTATTTTAAGAGCCACAAAAATCCCATAGCTCTTAAACGCTATGTCTAGCTTTGAGATGACAAGATGACTGTCCTACAGCATAAGTCAAATATCACATTAAAATGGAATTCTACTCCTAATTACTGATTACCAAGGTAATTCGAAGACTGCTAAGCTAATCTCACACAGATATCTACAATATTTGTTTCCAATAATAGGAAAAAATTCCAGATACATCAGGGAGATAGCAATAAAGTTGAGTCACTGCATCATACACTGCATGCTGTCTTCAAGACTGCGAATTCAGCTGTTGAAACAGGTACATTAATGCGCTCATTTGATTTCAGAATGTTGTTGGTGACAGCTGCAAAGAAATCACAGAGGAAGTTATAACTTATATAGAACACCCAGACAGAAATAAGTTCAATACGAGTTACCATTTGTTACTGTAGATTACCTTATTCAGAAATAAAAGAATAATAGTGGCGTAAACTTTGGGAAACATAGTATTGAGGGAAAATGGAATGAACTAATGATTTGTTCTACACTTCCCAACTTATACTCTTATTTCTTCAAAATGTATAACAAAGCACTTGAAACATACCAAAGGACACACGATCTATTACTCTTTCAAGTATCAATTGACCTTACTTTTAAAAGGAAAGCACAATGCTTAAAGAAACTTAAAAATAGACATTACTAACGCCTAAAGGAAAATAATTGACATTGTTGACAGAACCATAAGAAGCTAAGCTGCTAAATTTGCATAAATACCATTTTAGGCACCAAACAAGGCATACAAGAGAAGAGCCTTGCTTAAATTGCTTTTCTAGGGGGGCTCTTAGGTGCATTTTCACACCTCACAATGCCTGCACACGTGCTTTCAGCTAAAGAAGCAATAGATGAAGATGAGAAGCATTTCCATTTCAATAGCACTGTCCAAGAAATAAGCATCATCTTTTCTCCTTTTGAAAAACTGAAAGGACACTGGTTGTGAATCCGAGAGGACCCAATCCAAGATGACATTAGTGTGCCAACAGAGATTAATTTTTCATGTTTTCAGGGGAAAAAAACTTATCCATGTCTTTTTCTCATGAACAAGATGACAAAGACATTTGGTCCAAGAAAATATCAGAACTGCTGTATACAATGAATATGTGTAGGTCACCAATCCCCTAGAATAGAAGATGTTTCTGTTCCCAGGTGTACCTACTCTATTACAGTCTCTATTAGTCAACCATTATCCTTTAAAGCAACCTTAGCGAAGCAGTGATAAAGATTATTAGTATTGTTCTAGACCATTATGGCCCCGATTCCTAGACCTGCCCTCTGCAGATTATTCTAGAAAATACTAACTCAACACTTGCCAACCTTAAAATATTCACCAAAATCTAGCTTGCTCTCTTTTGGGAAAAAAAATTCGGTGTCATCAAGCATCCAATTAGCATGCTTTCATGCCTGATAGTATGAAAATAGGTTAACTATATGAAGCAATCTTGACTGACAAGTTGAGCACTACAGTCTAGTCCTTTATAACAGACAAATGGTACCATATGTTTCATCCGGCCCTTCTCATGCAATTATATTTAGGAAATTTCTAGACACTATGGCCAATTGTTCCCATTCAACAATTTGTCAACATTAAATTATAAAAACCTATTACCCACCTATGTTACTCAGGCTCGAGTGTAGTGTCGGATAAAGGTATATGTCCAATAAGTTTTTCCATATTGGAGGGTCATATTCCCACATCCATGTCCAAAAATCTGTCCAACATGAGTGCTGCAGACTTCATGAACAAGGAAGAATTGGAACAACATATTTCCTAGCAACCAATAGAAAATTTTCATCCTCTACAACTACACAAGTTGTTTCTAAGAAATGTGTTTTGCCATATCAATTTCAATTGCAGGTGCAGAAAAACGGAAGGAACAAAGAACATCTCACTTCAGTAATGATATCTACTACAGAAAAGCAAACATAGGATAGAAAAGTACCTAGTCAAGAAACAAAATGATATGGCAAAACAAAAACAAATCAAGAAATTATGAACATCTATTCTTGACCTGCAATAGAAATTGATCAACTGGTTCACTACAATCATTGGGCTTAACATTAGATTTTACATAAATCTCATTTTGCCCCTTGGAGGCATCCCAAATTTCTGATCATATAATCCAAGGTTGGTGATCTAGGGACAGAGAACTCACCAAGATCAATATAATCTCATCAAAATACCAACTTTTCACTATGTGCAATACCAGTGATGATGAAAGATTCCTAAACTACCAGCTAAAGAATCTGTTCTTTACAGAATTGGCACTCTTTCTCGCAAATAGTTTGGAAGTAATGTCCACTTTTAGAAAAACAAATAAATAAAAAAGCCACAATAAATCTACAATATTGCTTTGAGAGAGAGCAACAATAAAGTTGAAAACAAAGAAACTAATTAGAGAGGGAGTACTTACTCAAAGAAACCATGTAGCCATTACCACCATCCAGTGCTTTAATAAATAACTTCTTGCTTACTTGACCAGCATTGCTGTAGCAGAAATTATTTGTCAGCTTAAAATGTTAATATATATATATAGACACGTTAATAGACGCTATAATTGCTTCCGACTAAATGAATATAGAAAAGAAACAAGTGCAAAAAGCAAACCTATATTTCATTGCAGGGACATGGTAAAATTCAGAGGCCTAAAATGAATATAGAAAAGAAACAAGTGCAAAAACAAACCTAGATTTCATTGCAGGGTCATGGAAGAATTCAGAGGCATCATGAGCACCCATGCTTATCAAAGACCCAACTTCCGTCGAAGACAGCAAATTTCTGAAAAATGGTAACATAATCAGTACGCCTACATGCTAAGGGGAGACCAGGAGCAAAAAGACAGTGACAGAGATCAAGGCGAAAAGTTATCATAAACCAAATATATCCAGCTAAGAGTATGCTACATTCCAGTCCAATCTCCTGATTAAAAAAATGAAATTCACATGGTTTTGAGCTGTATTTATCAACGCACTAAATGTTTAATGGGGAAACAAGATGGAAATACTTACCTGTCTCTTCTCCCAATCATACTTGCGTTCAGCAATAGCAGGCAAGAAAGTCAACATCATGGAACCACGGCGATCAACTCTAAGGCCGCCAGTGGCAGACTATGAACACAATTCAAAATGAAAGGCACAATTCATTAGAATGAGAACCACAGAGAGGGAAACATAACTACAAATATTTGGGAAAGGCAATGGGAGCATACATCTATCTTACTGAAAGTCGGCAGAAGAGGAGAAACAGAGAGTGCAGCTTTTCCCTTGTATATCGTATAAGGAGAGAACACACGAGCATTGGCACTGGAATTCCCTGCAACCATATGAAAACAAAAAAAATCATAAAACACGGGTTATTATTAAGAAGCATTTCTGAAACAATTCAAATAAGGGAGGGAATTCGATACCTGTAGCAGCAAAACCATGTATAGAAGTTGAAAAGGCTGCTCGAGGTTCAAAACCATGTGGACATAAAGTACCTCTAGCATCACCCCATTTCCCAGACAGCAGTGTTTTGGAAGAATGGTTGCTGTTTGCAGTGAAAAACATTACTACGAAAACAACTCGAAAGCGTTCAATGCCCGTGTAATTATGTATGTAAATAAGAACTTTTTGCAGAAAGAAAGTCCTGGGCTCTGCCAGTGAAAAAAAATATTTGAAAATAAAAATTTACCCAAAAATAAGAATCACTAAAGAAATTTGAAAAACTATTTTTTGGGGGTTAGAGGAAGACGAAGAAGCTAGGGCTTAGTTGAGGTTTTAGAAAGTTAAAACGAAAATGAGCAAAGAATACGATAGAATATAATAGAATAGACATTTCGATTTGCTTTCTCAAGCACCATAAATCTTCAAGTAAAACAAACTAATTAGGGTTTTCGAATGTAAGCTTTTTTCAAAAAAAAAAAAAACCTGGAGAGCAAATGGCGCCATCGGTTCAACATCTT